GTCAGTGCTTGGTGACGATTACGTCTCGAATCCCGTATTGACAGGATGAAGCGGATGTTATATCCCGAGGGTGGGACATTCGGTGACGTTACGGCAACGGGTCTTGAAGGTGTTATTACTTATGCCATCAGCAAGACTTCTGGTACCGCTACGATTGCCGCCGATGCCCATACCGATGGTGGTATGGTGACGTTGACGGCGAGCGGTGAGGGGTCTGCGATGGTGTCGGTGACGGCCTCTGCTGGTGGGATGACGACTGAGGCGGTTAGTATTCTGTTCCGCGCGATGCCCTCTGTTGGGTCAGATGCGACGGAGACGGTTTCGGTTCCGCAAGCTACTGTTCCCAGTGCATATGGCAATGGTGGTTGCGACTGGCTTCCCCGAAGGTGCAGAGATTACGTTTAATGTCGATCCGCCGGACATTCTTATCTTACAACGTCGCAGGACGACAATGTGCTGACGCTGACATCTACTGGCACGGTTACTGTGTCTGTGACGGCTACTGGCTCTGGCGCGGGCGTTACGACGTCTGCGGTTGAGGTGTCGTTTGTGCAAGAGTTGCCCGCTGCTCCTGCGAGTGTGGTTGTGCAGGATCAGGCTGGGGATAACGGTTATTATGTGATGGTGAGTTTTGCCAATTCGGCAAATCACGCTGATGTGAGTCAGTATCGCGTTTATCGCGAGATGATGGTGAATACCACGCTGGATGACGACGGCAATGTGGTGGTCAGCGATGAGCCTGTGGCGTCGTGGGTTGCCTGGGCTGTTGTCGATGCGATGGATAATGATGATGAAGAAGGTATGACGCGAGCGGTTGTTCCGGTGACGGATGCAACGGCGACTCGCTGGGGCGTTGCCGCCGAGAAGGGTATGTCTTCGGCGGAAGATGGGATTACGTCTGCTGGCAAGCGCGTGTTCTCCAAGGAGAGCGTGCAGCTGATGGCTCAGTTCCTGGGTCTGGATCCCAATCTGATGGTTAGCCAGGATGAGTTGAGCGAGATGTTTATGCCTTCTGCTGATTATATTAATTCGATTATTGGCGGTAGGGAAAATGTTGTGTTTGCTGCTCTGGATCCCGATTTGAGTGTTCTGGTCGGTGATGTGTCTGTTCCGCAGAATATCCGCACGGATGGGTATGGTCCTATTGTTTCGTCTCCCATTACACCGGCTGACGGTATGGCGGGTGCAGTGGATGATACGGCTCCTGCTGCTGTGACCGATGTTGCCGCTGATGCGGAGACCGGGATGGTTACGTGGACGATGTCCGCCGATGATATGGTTGTTGGTATGATCAATTATCGCGGCTACGCGATGCCGATTCCCGGTGTGATGCAGGCTATAAGGTCATGGGCTGGGTGCCAGCGAAGATTCGATGATTGACATCGGGGTTGCTCCCGCTGGTTCGACCAGTTTCCAGGTTCCGCTGACTTTGATTGAGACTCTGATTAATCAGGGTCTGCCTGCGGTGCTGGTGACCGTGGTTGCGATGGACGGGACCAATATGACGCCGAGTGTTCCGCTGGTGGTTGAGCTTATCCCCACGCGCAAGGCGTTTGTGGATGCAGACGGTGGTTCTGTTTTTGTCGTGAAGCTCGACAGGCACGGGGCTATGACGCCGCTGACGGTTGACTTTGAAGATTTTGTTGCCTTTACGATGGCGTTTAATACCGATGAGACGCACGAGAACTGGAGAGTCTTTGTTCAGGCTGACCTGAATGACGATAAGACGGTCAATTTTGATGACTTTATTCTGTTCTTTAGCTCTTATGGCAAAGAAGCGCAGGGTCCGGCTGGCAAGTCTCTGGTTACGCCTGTTCTTGGCGTGAATGAGATTGCCGAGTTGTCGCTGCGTTTGGGCAATGATCGCGTGGTGGTTGGCGAGACGATGTTTGTGGATGTGTCTCTCACCAATGTACAGGCTCTGATGGGTTATGGGTTTGTGCTTCACTACGATGCCGAGAAGTTCGAGTTTGTAGAAGCGGTGCCGGCTGCTGAGGATTTGTTGAAGTCGGCAGGTGGCGAAACCCCATTGTTCCGGAGTAAGTCGGAAGTGGCCGGGCAGGTTCACGTTATGAATGCGATTGTGAATGGCTCGGAGGTTTCCGGCGATGGCGATATTGTTCGGTTGGTGTTCCGCGTGTTGCGCGATTTTGAGGATAATGCGCGGTTTGAGATTGCCGATGGTCTGGTTTTCGATCCGAATCAATTCGCCAATCCACTGGTCGGTGGTGTGCTGGATATTCAGACGACGCCCACAGAATTTGCACTGCTCCAGAATTTCCCCAATCCGTTTAACCCCGAAACAACGATCGGGTATGAGTTGGCCGAGTCTGCCGATGTGACGCTCCAGATTTACAATGTGGTGGGTCAGGTCGTGCGGACGCTGATGGCTGCTGAACCGCAGTCGGTCGGTCGTTATCAGGTCCGTTGGGACGGTATAGATGATCGCGGGACGCCGGTTTCGAGTGGGATTTATTTCTACCAGATTTCGGCAGGGAAGTTCCAGGATGTGCGGAAGCTGATGCTGCTCAAGTAATTCGTTACAGTGTCTGGGAAGTTTTGCGATTGTGAGACTTCCCAGACCTGTTTTTCATTCGGAACTTACAAGGAGTAGTTTTCAGCGAAGGAGTTTTGCAAATGTTTCTTAAAAGAGGATTGTTATTTTTTACTGCCCTTGCGTTTCTGGCGTTTGCGGGCCAGGCTTCTGCGGGTCCCAATGCAAATGCTGTTTTGTCAGTTGACATTGATGCCAGTGACAATTAAATGAATGATGGCAATACATCGGGTACTGCGGTTGCGGGTACCGATGTTGTCGTTGAAGATATTTATCAGTGGGTTGGCAGGTCCCATTGTCGGTGGTGTGGTGACTTTTGATACGGATAAGCTGACAGTCAAAAGTGCAGCTCCTGCTGCGGGATTTTTTGCTCTGGGTACAACGGCGAATACCGTTTCTTTAGGTGCTGTTCCTTCTGGTACTTTGACCAACGACTATTTCGGGACTGTTACGCTGGCGCCCGTAGAGGGTTTGATGGTAAGTACCGAATTTACAGTTGGTGTCAGTGTAAAAAGTTTGGCTGATGCTGCCGATCCTACAAACATGATATTACCACGGCGATGATGGCGCCCTTGTCGTTCAATGCTATTCCCAGGCTGGAGGCAGATGCAACTGTGGTTTCTGTGCCAGCGGGTAGCACCGGTAAGGCAACGGTGACGGCGGTGAATTTTGCTGCCGATGCGACGATTACCTTTGATGTGCAGGGCTGAAATGATCGAGCAGGTTATGTCCATGATGGATGGTGCCACGTTGACGTTGACGGCGAGTGGCCCGGCAAAGGCGATCGTGACGGCGAGTGATGGTATGATCACAACCGATCCGATTACGATTGAGTTTGTCGAGGTGCAGCTCCCCGCACTGGATGCTGTTGTAGGCATGGACATGATGAATATGATGGATGATGGCATGCTTGCAGCCAGTGCTGGTGCCAATGAAGAGGTTGCTATTGAGGTGTTTGCGGTGATGTAGATGGCGGTCTCGGTGGTGCGAGTATAACATTTGCGGTTGATCCAGCCACTGCGGCGACGATCACGGGTTTTGACCCTGCTGAAGGTTTGACGCTGCTGGGTATTTCCGGTAATCAGGTCGATGTTGGTGCCGAAGAAGCAGTGATGCTGTCCAATGGTGGTTTTTTGGGCACGGTGAAGCTGATGACAGGTGCCGAGGCTGTGCCGTTTACGGTTTCGGTTGAGTCGTTTACAGCGCTTCTCGCGTCTGGTGAGACGACGATGCTGATGATTCCAGCACCGGTGATGTATAATTTCGGTCCGCGGCTGGAGGTGTCTGCGTCTATTGCGACCATTCCTCGCGGTGGTGAAGCGACGATTAAAATTACCGCTCTGGGTTTTGCCGAGGGTTCGAAGATTACCTTTTCGCATACTGTAGAAGGCACGGCTATGGTCGATGGCCACCCGGAAATGGATATGCTCAACGTCTATTCGTTGACTGCGACCGGTTCGGGTTCCGCTGTTGTCACGGTGACGGCGGGTGATGGCATGGCTTCTGTTGAGGTGACTGTTCAGTTTGACGAGCAGGTGCCGATAGAGTTGTCGTCATTTGTCGGATCAGTGATGGAAGACCGCGTGGTGCTGAATTGGGCGACGGCTTCGCAGACCAATAATGCGGGTTTCCGCGTGCTTCGCAGCACGGATGGAGAGACCTACGAGGTGGTCAGTGAGCTTATCGCAGGTGCTGGTACGACCGATCAGTTGATGGATTATATGTTTGAGGATACGGGCGTTCCGGCTGTTGAGGTGGTTTATTATGTGATCGAGCAGATTGATCTGGATGGGTCGGTGAATCTTTCGAATCCCATTGAGGTGCTGTTGGGCGCGCGTTTCACCCTGCCCACAGAATTTGCTTCGACGGTTTATCCCAATCCGTTTCAAACCCCAGAACGACGATTTCCTACGATTTGCCCGCTGACACAGATGTGTCTATCGTGATTTACAACGAGACCGGGCAGGAAATCCGTCATCTGGTGACCCAGCATTATACAGCAGGTCGCTATAATGTCCAGTGGGATGCTAAGGATTATCTGGGCCGCAGCGTTGGTAGTGGCGTTTATATCGCCAAGATTGTGGCGGGTCCAAATACCGCGATCCAGAAGATGCTGCTGTTGAAGTAGGGGACGGGTTTTAAACCCGCCCGATTGTAGGGGCGAAAAATTTTTCGCCCTTTCAAAAAGGCCATTGGGCATATTGTCCAGTGGCCTTTTTTTTGTTATTGCGGTATTGTATATGTGAAACTATATTCGAGCACGATGTAGGGGACGGTCCCCGTGCCGTCCCGTTGCGATCCAGATTCATCTGTGGTTATCTGTGTTCATCTGTGGTTGCATTTATAAAAAGGAGACATAAATGCAGAAGGTGCGAATGGGCTTGATCGGGTGTGGTGGCAATATGAGCGGCCACATCGGGCGTTTGATGAAGATGCGGGATGTGGAGGTTGTGGCTCTCACAGATCCGAGTGAGGCGAGTTTTGCGCGGTTGTTTGAGCGCGTGCCCCAGGCAGAGGCGTTGCCGAGGTTTGCAGATCACAGGGAGATGCTGAATAATGTGGAGATGGATGCGACGGAGATTTCCACGCCGCATACGTTGCATTTTGAACAGATTATGGATAGTCTGGATAAGGGTTTGCATGTGCTGACGGAAAAGCCGATGGTGTGTTCGGTCGATCACGCGTTTCAGGTGATGGATAAGGCAGTGGAGGTGGATCGGGTTTTGATGGTGTCCTATCAACGGCACCTGGCGCCGACGTTTCGGTTTATGCGGAATCAGATTCAGGCGGGTGAGATCGGAGAGGTTCAGTTTATTCAGGCGATGCAAGATCAGCATTGGTATGAGAATCAACAGGGCAAGTGGCGACAGGTTCACGCGCTGTCGGGCGGGGGTCAGTTGAATGATTCGGGGAGTCATTTGCTGGATGTTGTGCTGTGGATGGTGGATCTGGCTCCGGCGCGGGTGTCGGCGTTTATGGATTATCTGGATACAGAGGTGGATATCAATTCGGCGCTGTCGATTGTGTTTGAGAATGGCGCGTTGGCGAATTTTTCTGTTGTGGGTACAGGTCCGGGTCCGGGGATGTGGGAGGATATTACGATTTGGGGCACAAAGGGGGCGATTTATTCTCGCAATGGGCGGGTGACGTGCAAGTACGGTGGCAATGCGCCTGTAGAGGTGGATGCCAATAGTTTGCCGTCGCGGTTTGTCGAGTCCAGATCAAAATTTTGTGGATGCTATTTTGGGGCGCGATGAAATTCAGGTGCCGCCGGTGTGCGGTTTGCGCGTGATTCAGTTGACCGAGGCCGCATGGGAGTCGGCAGAAAAAGGCGGCCGCCCGGTGCGGGTGAAGAGAATTAGGAATTAAGAAGCAATTGTAGGGGCGAGGCATGCCTCGCCCGTCATCGCGGCAGGGTGTTAGCCGCGATCCAGAAAGGTCGCCGTTCAATCCGTGATCGTTATGGAGGCTGTTATGCATATATTAAAATTAACGATTATTTTGGGGTTGCTCGTCTGTGTTGCCACCGACTGTTGGGCGCAGGCCACTGCGGTAGAGTTGAAGTTCCCAGAGGGACGCAAGGCGCGATATAAGCATAAGTTTCGCGTGGAGTATTACAGCAATCAGGGGGAACAGATTGTGATGGAGAGTGGGTCTATACGGGTGATTATAGATAATGAGTGGCGCAGCCATGAAGAGGTGGTTGTGCTCCAGGCGCTGCCGGGTAAGGAGATTCCCGAAGGGGTGATGGGTATTCGCGCAGAGATTCAAAAGGGTGCGGGTGCGGCGATTTTTTTGGGTGAAAAGCAGACGTATGAGCAATATCCGTTTACGTTTGATCTGTTTAATGATAAGGCTTTTACCTGGCAGGTGACGCCCCAGGGCAGGGTGCAGAAATTTGAACCTGATTTTCCGCCGTTTCGCGTGGAGCGGAAGGGATTTGATTACGGATATTTTCCAGGGGGCGATGCCGGCGTTTGCGCCTGTTTTGCCGGATAAGCCGGTTAATAAGGGCGATACCTGGACGGGTGAGCGCGATTTTTGGCGTCCTTTTTCGAGTATGGATATGATGGGGCGCGATTCCCAAATTAAAATTAAGAGTACTTACGAGGTGAAGAATATCAAGAATGCGAAGGGGCGCGTGGAGGTGCATATTGATGAAGATAGTGAGGTGGAGTACGCGGGATGGATTGAAGTGAGCGCGGCGTCTCTGTATTACGGTGGGAAGGGTACAGGTGGGGGTTCATGGGTGATTGATGCGACGCGCGGTCTGGTGTTGTCGCATAGGGTGCATTTTGATATCAATAAGCCTGTGGTTATTAAAGCGGGGCACAAAGAACCAATTGCCAATATTGTCGCCGAGGTTAAAATTGATATGGAACGCAAGTTGGAAAAGCTCGAAAAGGAGTGAGTTCACGGCTTGACATGGGTTTTGAGATATGGTATTCTGTTTGACGTGAGAACCGCTCTATCGTTTTATCACCGCCTTTGATGCTGCAGGGAGCTTACGCGATGAATACTACAGAAGACGTGGAATTTAATTATCAAACTTATATGGATGAAATCTCATTAGATTCAGTCAAAATTCATCGTGGAACAGAGGCGCGTGAAAAACGACGAGAGATCGTTATACGCGCCCTGGCCTGCTTCAATCGCGGTTCTGCTCACAGGTCCATAGGTGCTTATGATTGTGCCATAGCAGAGTACAGGAAGGCGATAGACTTGAAACCGAATTATGTCAATGCCTATCATAGTCGGGGCAATGCGTACATGCAAAAAGGTGCGTATGACCTTGCTATTTTGGACTTTGACAAAGTGATCGCGCTGAGACCGGATGATGCCATGACTTATTTTAGTCGTGGCCTGGCCCATTTCATCAAAGATAGGTTGACCTTGCTATCAAGGATCTGAATAGAGCGGTCGCACTTGACTCAGAGTTTGCTGTGGCCTATTTCATTCGAGTCGGTGGTCTACTTAAAAAAGGTTGTTATATTTTGCTATTGTAGAGTATAATAAGGCGATAGAATTGGATCCAGATTATGCCGATGCCTATAATAATCGCGGCAATACTTATAGCAATAAAGGCGAGGTTGACCTTGCTATCGCAGATTACAACAAAGCGATAGCACTTAAGCCAGAACCTGCGGTGTGCCATCTTTCTTTCTCTCGACTGCCCCGTATGATGATACGTAATCCTAAAAGCGCATGTACGTAATCGGGTCTGACCTGCAGAGTGTACAAGAGGGCGATAGAATTGGACCCAGAACTTGCTGTGGCCAATTTTGGTCTTGGTATATGTGTCGCTCTGAGTCCGTGACATAGATGGCAGTGCCAGATCATATTTGACACTTGCCAGGCGCGAGGGCCTGGATATTATCGCAGCATTCGCAACCAATACGTATAAATGTTGCGCATGTGAACGGAGACATTCTGTGTTGTTCGGTGCATGCCGAAGATATCGCGCTATGTTGTACGCCATAAGTGGTCATTCCCCTAGGTTTGTGCTTGCCTATCCTGATCATCCTTATATCCTGATCATCCTGATTCAGACAGAGGTTTTGCTTCTTTATCCGCAGAGCCAGCCATTATACAACGATTCGCTGATCGTCAGAGAAAGTCACCTGAAGATTTTCTTCAGGACTATGTGGATATGCAGCATACGTTTCAGTCATTGTCGATTATCGATCAGATTTTGATGACGATGGATGAGACAGATCGACGGCGGCCCCTGTTGTTCCAGTTGCGCCGGCAGCTTCAAGAGGATGAGATTACGTTTGAAGAGGCGAGGCGCACGATTGTGGAGTTGGAAGGGACGCTGGAGAAGGTGACTGCACCGGCCAATCGGGTGGGGACGTTGTTGGCGCCGCCGGAAAATGGCGTGGCGTATATTACGGTGGGTGGGTCGGAGTATTATGCGAATGTGGATGCGCGGTTGGATGAACGCCGTTTGAAGGTGGGTACGCGGGTGCTGGTCAATGAGGCATTTGCGGTGGTGGGCGATATGGGCGAGTCTCCGTCGGGTACTGTGGGCAAAATTGTCGATGTGCTGGACGATGGGCGTTTGCAGGTGGGGCAAGAACACGGCTCGCAGACGCATATTTTGCTGCGCGGGGCCGATTTGGTGCGCGAGTCTTTGAAGGCGGGCGAGGAGGTGCGCATCGATCCCCTTTTTCGCGTGGCGCTGGAAAAGATGCCGCATTCCGAGGTTAAGGATTTTTATTTGGAGGAAGTGCCCGATTTGCCGTGGGAAAAGATCGGTGGGCAAAAAGATGCGATTCAGGCGATCAAAGATACGATTGAGATGCCGGTGTTGCATCCAGAGTTGTTTAAGCGTTTTCAGTATAGTACGCCCAAGGGGTTTTTGTTATACGGTCCGCCGGGGTGTGGCAAGACGCTGATTGGGAAGGCGACGGCGTATAATCTGGAGAAGCAGGTGCAGGAAGATGGATTGAATCTCAAGGCGTGTTTTATGCATATTAAGGGGCCTGAGATTTTGAATATGTGGCTGGGGGAGTCCGAGCGCAAGGTGCGCGAGATTTTCTCTCAGGCGCGCGAGAAGCGGCGCGAGGGGTTTTTGCCGGTGGTGTTTATCGATGAGGCGGAATCGGTTTTGGGTACGCGGCGGGCGATTCGGTCGCACAATATTTCAAATACGGTTGTGCCGATGTTTTGTGCCGAGATGGACGGGATCGAGTCTTTGCAAGATGTGGTGATTATTTTGACGTCCAATCGGCCAGATTTGATCGATCCGGCGATTTTGCGCCCGGGGCGTATTGATCGGAAAATTAAGGTGAATCGGCCAGACGAAGATGCGGCGCGCGAGATTTTGGGTATTTATTTGACGGCTGATTTGCCGGTGGCAGAGGGTGCGTTAAATGCGCAGGATGGCAATGCGCGGGCAGCGGTTGACGATTTGGTGGCGCGGGCGATTGCGGAGATATATGCCAAGCGCGATGATACGCGGTTTTTAGAGGTGACGCTTAGAAGCGGTCGCAAGGATGTGTTGAGCCGCGGGGATTTGTGTAGCGGGGCAATTCTCGAGTCTATTGTGCAGCGCGCGAAAGAGATTGCGATTAAGCGGTGCATTGCTTCGGGTTCGGTAGAGGGGATCGGTTTTGAGGATTTGCTCGCGGCGATTGAGATGGAGTATGGCGAGAATGAGATTTTTCCGCCGACGGATAATACAGAGGATTGGTTGAAGTTGCTGGATTACGATCCCGAAAACGTGGTGCGCGCAGCACCGATTCGCCCCAGGCGAGAACGACGCACCCACAGGCATGGTGTGGTGTGAGGCTAGGGACTGCCCGTCATTGCGGCATGCTTAAAGCCGCAATCCAGAAGGTTTTTTGTCATTGCACCCACAGGCATGGCGTGGTGTGAGGCTAGGGACTGCCCGTCATTGCGGCATGCTTAAAGCCGCAATCCAGAAGGTTTTTTGTCATTACTGGTGTTGTGAGATAATATGACGCGTTTGGTTGGGCTGGAAACGGAATATGGGATCACGATTGACGGGGCGGATAGGGTCGATGTGGTGGAAGAGTCAATGCAGTTGATTCGGTGCTATCAGCAGGGTAAGTTTGTCCCATTGTGGGATTATCGATTGGAAAACCCCCGTCGGGATGAGCGGGGGTTTGAAGTTAAAATCTGTTGAATGATGCCGATGAAAAGGTGCATTTGCAACAGGATCGCAAGCGCAAGATTCCGTTTGTGGAATTGAAGAGCGATTTGATTATTTACAATGGCTCCCGGTTTTACAACGATCATACGCATCCAGAGTATTCGACGGGTGAGTGTGTGCGTTTGTTTGAGCTTGTGGCACAGGATAAGGCGGGGGAGCGTATTGTGGATATTTGCGCGCAGCGGCGCACGGAGATGCTGGATCGGGGCGTTGTGCGGATGTACAAGAATAATACGGATTTTGAGGGGCATAGCTATGGGTGTCACGAGAATTATTTGATGGATCGCTCGGTGCCTTTCGAGCGTATATTGGAGGGGTTGTTGCCGTTTTTTGCAACGCGCCAGATTTTTTGCGGTGCTGGCAAGGTGGGTGTTGAGCGGGATGATCGCGCACCGATTTATCAGTTGTCGCAACGCGCGGAGTTTTTTGAGGTGATCGCGAGTGTAGATACGATGCACAAGCGTCCTGTTGTCAATACACGCGATGAACCCCACGCAGATGCGGCGCGCTATCGCCGGTTGCATGTGATTGTGGGCGATGCGAATATGTCGGAGTATATTACGGCGCTTAAGGTGGGTACAACGGCGCTGGTGATCGATTTGATTGAGGCGGATTGTTTGCCCAATTATCGGTTGAAGGATCCGATTGCGGCGATGAAGAATGTCGCTCGAGATCAAACGCATGCGTGGTTGGTAGAGGTTGAGGGGTCTGGCAGCCGCCTCGTTCCTGCGGTTGAGATTCAGGATGCTTTTTTGGCTTTGGCCCGGCGCGAGTTTGCCGGGCGCGATCGAGAGACGGATTGGGTTTTGTCGGCGTGGGAAGATGTGCTGGAGAAGTTGGGCCGCGATCCGATGGATCTGGTGGGGGTGTGCGATTGGGTGACGAAGAAGTGGTTGATCGATAGTTTTTGCGAGGCGGAGGATCTGGCGTGGGATAATCCCGATGATTTGTTCTGGATGCAGAGTCAGGATTTGGAATATAGCAATGTGGATCGGGATGCGGGGTTGTATTATTTGCTGGAGTCGCAGGGGCAGATGGTGCGTCTGGTCGGCGATGATGAGGTTGCCGCGGCGATGTCGGAACCGCCTTCGGGTACACGGGCGTATTTTCGGGGGCGCAGTTTGGAGAAGTTCGGCGATTATGTGTCGTCGATTAACTGGGATCGCATTGTGTTTAAGCGCAATGGCCGCCAGCATCCGGTGGATATGAAGTTATTGGTGGATGCGGAGCGGGTAGAGCGTTATAATGAGGTACTGGATAGTGCGGAGACGTTGGAAGATTTTTTGGATGGGTTGGGGAAGGTAAATCCGTAGGGGCGAGGCATGCGTCATCGCGGCGTGCCCCCTGCGTCATCGCGGCATGTTTTAAGCCGCGATCCAGAAGGTTTTTTTGCAGTTTTCTTAATTAAGGAGGCCGTAGATGGATAAGGTCTTGCAGTTTGAGCGACGGACAAAGCCGATCGACCCGGGGGGACCTGGTCCGGGTGATGATGGCGATGGTGGCCCTGCGCGTCCAAAAGTGGAGCGGCCAGATACACGCGATTTGATGCGGCGCATGCGGCGCGTTGATCCCAATCAGGCGCGGCGTTATCGCCAGCGTACAGGCGAGTAGATTATGCAATCGGGCGGGGATTTTGTCGATTTGCTTCGGCAATCAGGCTATCGGTTTCCGGGTGAGAATTTGGGCGATGTGCAGGGTGAGCGCGCGTTGCCTTTTGAGCCGACGGAAGCGACGACTATTTTGGCATTTCAATATGCCGATGGGGTGCTCGTAGCGGGTGATCGCCGCGCCACAGCGGGCAATATGGTGCTTTATGACCGCGCGGATAAGGTGGTTGATTTGGACGCGTATTCGGTGATGGCGATTTCGGGTTCGCCAGCTATTGCGTTTGAGATCGCGCGCATTTTGGAGCATGCGTTTCAGTATTATCGCCGTCGTTTGCTTCAGGAGATGAGTTTGCAGGCGAAGTTGCGCCGGTTGTCGCTGTTGATTAAGGATAATTTGCCGCTGGCGATGCAGGGTATTGGTGCTGTGATTCCAATTTTTGCGACGTTTGATCGGGTGGATGCGCGGGGCAAAATTTATTTTTACGATGCTTTGGGGGCGCAGTTTGAGAGTGCCGATTTTACGACGACGGGGTCGGGGTCGCCGGCGATTCGCGGGGCGATGTATTATTTGAATCGCTGGAGCGGTCGGCAGTTTGTCGAGTATGGATCGCGATACGGCAATCGGGCACGCGCTTCAGCTTTTGGATACGGCGTCGGAATACGATTCGGCTACGGGGCGATACGAGCGGTCGGCTGATATTTTTCCATCGGTGAAGACGATTACGGCGTCTGGTCTGGAAGAGATTGAGACCGAGGCGTTGCGACAGCTTTATGTACAGTACGTGGATGGGGAGGAGGCGGGACGCACATGATGTTGTCGGATGAGCCTTATCGCTGGGCAGAGGCGGTTGCGAATCGGCGCGATTATATTGAAGATCAAATTCGGACGGGCAGTCCGGTTGTGGGCGTGGGGTACGAGGATGGTATTTTGTTGCTGACGCTGTCGCAGAATCAGCAAAAAGTGTTTGAGGTGTACGACCGCATCTCGCTCGCGGCTATTGGGCATTCCACGGATATCGAGAGGCTCAGGCAGGCTGCGATTGATATGGCGCATTCGATTGGGTTTAATTATTCAGAAGATGATGTGACGTTGCGTCAAATTGTGTATTTTGGTCTCGGTCCTGCGGTGAAGGCGGGTTTTGACGATGTGGTGCATTCTCCGTTTTTAGCGCGGGTGCTTCTGGCGGAGTTGGATGGGCAGGAGGGCGCGCAGATTTTTTATTCGGTGGATTACGATGGCGCGTTTTACCGGCACGAGGGATGGGCTGTTGTGGGCGGTGTTGTGGAGGCGGATTTGATGATGGGGCGCGAACTATCGGATTTGGATACGGGAGCGTTGTCCGTGGTGGATGCCGCGGGCGCTGCGCTGCGCGCATGGGCAATGGGACGATGGGTTGGGAAGCTGGATGAGGTGCCCACCGATGCTGAAGAGCTCGAGAAGATGGCGGGGGGGGTCAATGTGGCGGATGTGCTTAAGACGGAGTTGGAGAATTTAGAGGTGGAGGCGGTGGTGCTCGGGCGGTCGCAGTTGGGTAAAAAACAAGTACCGCAATGTCGATGCAGAAGAAATTGCACCCGCTCTGGCCCAGTTTATATTGTAGGGGCAGGTATGAAACCTCGCCCCTATCAGGGGAGGCTCTATGAGAGATCGAATTTTTGGCATAGAAACCGAATATGGGTGTTTGGCTCCCGAGCACGAAGGTTTTGTGAGTCCCGATACTATTTCTGTGAAGGTAAAGGATCACATTTTTCACGTTGATCGAATCGGGATTGTGGATATTCACTATCGCGGTCGGGATGAACCCCCGGGCAATGGGGGTTTTTTGTTTAATGCGGGGCGGGTTTATATCGATATGGGGCATCTGGAGTATGCGACGCCGGAGTGTATGGGGTTGTGGGATATTGTGGCTTTTGATCGGGCTGGCGATGTCATTTTGCACCGGGCATTGCACGCGCTCGGTTTGGCCAAAGAAGCATCGTTTTTGAAGAATAATATCGATCATTATACGGGTGCTACGTTTGGCTGTCATGAAAATTATCTGGTCAGGCGCAATGTGCCGTTTTCAACGGTTGTCATTCCCGCGCTGTTGCCGTTTTTGGTTACGCGCCAAATTTTCTGCGGCGCAGGTCGCGTGGGCAGTTATGACGATAGTTTTTATTATTATGGGCATAGTCCGCGGGATAATGGCGACCGGGAGGATCCGATCGATTTCCAGATTTCTCAGCGTGCCGATCATATTGTGACAGAGATTTATCAGTGGATTCAGTTTTCTCGCGCGATTATCAATACGCGAGATGAACCGCTGGCCGATCACAGCAAATACCGCCGGTTGCACCTTTTGGTGGGCGATTCGAATATGTCGGAGTATGCGACGGCACTAAAAGTTGGTACGACTGCGATGGTGCTGAATCTTTTGGAGCGCAAAATTTTTCCCCAGGATATGGGGCTGGGTGATCCGGTGTGGGCGCTGAAGGAGATTTCGCGCGATCCGACACATAAGTGGATTTTGGACCGACAAAATGGTCGCACGATTTCGGCAATTGATATTCAGCGCAGCTATTTGGACCTGGCACAACGCCATTTGAGGGGGTTGGATGAGGAGTCGGATTGGGTGCTATATGAGTGGGAGCGCACGCTCGATGATCTGGAGTCCGATCCGATGCAGTTGACAGATCGTGTGGATTGGGTGGCTAAGAAGTGGTTGTTGGATGCGTTTCGCGAGTCGGAGAATTTGAGTTGGGACGATCCGTGGTTGCAGAGTTTGGATCTGGAGTATCACAATATTGATCCCAATCGCGGGTTGTATTTTGATCTGGTGCAGCAAGGTAAGATGCAGCGGGTGCTGACGGATGAGCGCGTTGAACGGGCTTGTGGGACGCCTCCGGCTGATACGCGGGCAAAGGCGCGGGCGGCGATGGTGAGGACGTTGTCAAAAAATCGGGTGCGGTATATTGTGGATTGGGATTCGGTGTATTTGGAAAATGAATTCCATTTGAGTTTACGCGATCCGTTTGATACGTATGACAAGGAGGTCGAGGCATTTGACGAGGAGGTCGAGGTCGTGTCGAAGATGATGGGTTTGAGACGAAGTGGAAAATAAAAAAAAGCCGACCACACAGTGGTCGGCCTTTTTTTTACCTTCTACTCCTCCCGCCGCGGCGTCCAGAGTAATGGCGAGAGCCCATGGGCAGGTACGCGCGGGCGGTTTTTTGGCTGGCGCGGTCGAGTTTGGTGTAGTCGAGAATTTTGTAGCGTTTGCGCGTTATGGCGTCGGTGAATACGATTTCGGGAAATGCGTTGAGGTTGAGGTGCTGGTCGCCGCGGATTGTGAAGCTCATGGGGCCCGCGTCGGTGTCGATGTCCCAGACTGTGCCGCCTTCTTTGCTGCTTTCGATGTTGAGTATGGTTTGGATTTTGGGGATGTCGTAGCGGTCTTTGAGGTGTTCTTCAACAAGTGCCCGCGATTGTGTGTTTAAGTCCGTCGAGTGTGGGCAAGAGGCCGAGTTCGGTTCCGTCCCGGTCGCGCAGGCTGATCCATTGATCGGGCGTGGAAAAGGGAAAACAACGCACGATGTGATCTATGTACAGTTCTTCTCCGTCGGCAAAGAGGAGCAGGCCATCGCCGTTTTGACGTATGTCAATGGCCTGGGGGATGAGTTGTTGTATAATAAGGTCCATGTCGAGATCTCCGTAGGGGACGGTCCCTGTGCCGTCCCGATATACCACCAGTGTTTGCCATGTCTGCGGGCGGGCACGGGGACCCGCCCCTACTCTTCAAGCGCGAATTGCATGTCGCACAGGTGGGCGTAGAGGCCGTCACTGGCGAGTAGCTGGGTGTGTGTGCCGAATTCGACGATTTTGCCGCGGTCGATGACGTAGAGGCAGTCGGCGCGGCGCACGGTGGATAAGCGGTGGGCGATCGCAAAGGTGGTGCGGTCTTCCATGAGGCGTTCGAGGGCGTTTTGGATGAGCATTTCGGTTTCGGTGTCAACAGAGGATGTGGCTTCGTCCAGGATGAGGATGCGCGGGTCGTTGAGGATGGGCGCGGGCAATGGAGATGCGCTGTTTTTCGCCGCCGGATAGGCGCACGCCCCGTTCGCCAATGTGGGTGTCATAAGTGTCGGGGAATCCGCAGACGAAGTCGTGTGCGTTGGCCATCATGGCGGCGTTGATGATGTCGGCTTCGGTGGCGTTGAGTTTGCCGTATGCGATGTTTTCGCGGACGGTTCCGTTGAATAGGAATGGCTCTTGTAAGACCATGCCGATTTGGCTGCGCAAAGATGCGCGTTGCATGTTTTTGAGGTCATGACCGTCAACGCACACGGTTCCGGAATCGGGGTCGTAGAAGCGGCAGATGAGGTTGATGATGGTGGTTTTGCCCGCGCCGCTGGGTCCAACGAGGCCGATGAGTTGGCCGGGTTGTACGTTGAGGGAGACGTCGTGGAGGACGGGGGGTCCGTGTTCGTAGGCAAAGGTGACGTTCTGAAATTCGACGCGGCCATTCAGGCGCCCATAAGTTTGGGCATTGGGGGTGTCTTTTATTTCGGGTTGGGTGTCCAGGATTTCAAAAATGCGACGCGCTGAGGCGGCTGCGCGCACGATGGTGTCGTTGATGCGGGTGAGGCTTTCTACGGGGCCGTAGAAGCGCCAGAGGAAGCTTTGAAAGGCGAAGAGGGTACCGATGGTGAGTTCGCCCGAGATGATTTGTCGCCCGCCAAAGAGGAGGATGAGGAGGGGTCCCATTGAGATGACCAATCGGGCAACGGGAAAAAAAGCCACGCGGGTTTTGATGATGGTGATGCTGATGGTGAGGAAGGCTTTGCATTTTTGGGTGAAGCGAGAGAGTTCGTGGTCCTCTCGGGCAAAGCATTTGATGACGCGAATGCCCGAGAGGTTGTCTTGCAGGAGGGCGCTGATGTCGGCAATGCGCTCGCGTGCCATGGTGTAATAGGGGCGCACGGTGCGGTTGTAGAAGATGATGAGTACGCTGTATAGCGGCAGGGGTAATAAGGTGATGAGGGCGAGTTCAAAGCTGAGTCCAAAGAGGATGCCGCCAAAGATGAGGATGGTTGCGATATTGACGAGTACGCGTTCCAGGGTGTCGGTGATGGTGTTTTGGAGGGATTCGACGTCGGCGGTTACGCGCGACATCAATTCGCCAGTGCTGCGGTCGTTGTAAAAGCGCAGTCCCAGGTGCTGGAGGTGGTCATAGACCTGGACGCGGAGGCTGAAGAGGATGTCCTGGCCCGTTCGGTTGAGTAAGTAGCGGCTGATGAAGCTGAAGATGGTGTGGAGTATATAGACGCCGAGCAGGAGCAGGGCGTAGAATTGGAGGAGGTCGAAGTCGGTTGCGATTTTTGTGTCGGCGAAGTCGTTGCCGATATAACGCCCTTCTGTGAAGTAGGGGGTTAATATGTTGTCGATGACTTCGCGCATGAGCAGGGGTTGCGCGGCTTCCAGGCCGATGATGACGAGGGTGGCACCAATGCCGACGCATCACGCGACCGAGGTAAGGGCGAACATAGGTGATGAGGCGGAGGAAGACGTTCATAGGCGGTGTCTTTACGTGTTGACGATTTGATCCGTCGATACGATTTCGACGCCCTGTTGTTGCCATTCGGCTACCATGCGGTTGCCGCGTTTGGGGTCGATGGCTTGTGTGGCGTCCAGGACGAGTTGTATGGGTGCTGTGTTGCGTTTTAGGAAGCCGTGAATTGCGTATGCGTTGCATACGTCAAGGGCAACGCCGTAGAGTGCGATGCGGTCCGGTTTGATGGCGTTGAGTACGGGTTCGACGTTGGGGTTGGTGAAGACGTCGAAGCGCTGTTTGCGAAAGATGATTTCACCGCGGTGTTTTTGTACTCGGCTGATGAGGTCGGCCGAGGTGTTCGGGTCGATCCAGAGGGGGTTTTGCGGTTGGGTTTCGGGTACTTTTTTTTGTCCGGTTGTGCCGGCGATGCAGTGGGGGGGAAAGGTTTCCTGGAAGTCCGGGTTGTCGGAGATTTCGGGGTCGGCTATCTGGTGGTTGTCAACCGAGCCGAAGATGGGGATGCCCCGTTGTCTTGCGTGGTCTGTGAGTTTTTTGAGGTTTGGCAAGCGTTTTTCCGATGCGGTGACGTAGAGTTTGCCGTCGGGCATGATGAAGTCGTATTGGGTATCGACATCCCAGAAGATGATGCCGGGCATGAGAGACTCCTTTTTAGTACAGCAAGTACTTTTCCCTCACGGCAGAGAATTTCTCCAATTCCCCTTCCCATTGTTCCCATATTTGCTGTGCATCCTCGCCTTTTAAGAGGGCTTCGCGCACGGTGCTGGTTCCCATGGGGTGGTCAAAGCGGCTATACCGGTCTTTTGGGATTTTGAATTCGGGATATGTTGCCACAAGATGGGCGAGTATGGATACTTCTGTGCGCGTTGGGCGAAGGGCGATGGGGTCTGTTATGTCTAAAAATATAGCTTCTACTTTTTGGTTGCGAAAGAGCCATGTGTCGGGTACAAGGGTGATGGGTTGAAATTGTACGCCGGGCAGTTGCATAGCGTTCAGGTCACGGGCTGTTTTTTCTGCGTTGATCCACGGCGCGCCAACGATTTGAAAGGGCATGTCGGTTCCAATGCCGATGTGTAAGGTTCCCAGTTCGCCCATGGTTCCGGTTGCGGCAAAGGATATGGCGGCCTGGGGCGAGGGGATATTGGGCGATGGGGGGACCCAATTGCGTCCGATATCCGTCCAGCGCATGTTGCGCTGGTATCCTTCCATGGGTATGACTGTGAGGGAACAGGCGAGCGTGTGTTCTCGGTTGAGATAGCGCGCGAGTTCTCCCACTGTAAGCCCATACGCGCGCGGTACTGGGTATAGTCCCCCAATTAACGATAGCGATTTTTCTTCGCTTATGGGACCATCTATTGTTAGCCCGCCCAGGAGATTGGGGCGGTCGAGGACGATGACGCGTTTGTCCTGTTCGCCCGCCGCTGCGATGATTTTGGCCAGGCTCCAGATGTAGGTATAGGCTCTGCTTCCCACGTCTGTATGTCGTAGATGATGACGTCGATTTTGTCCAGTGCGGATTTCAGGAGCGGCCGCTTCCGTAGAGCGAATATACGGGCAAGCTGTCCAGTTGGGTGTCGCGCACGTGTTCGCCCGCTTTTGCTTTTGCTTTGATTCCGTGTTCAAGTGCAAATAGTGCGACGAGGTTCACGTCGGGGTGCTGTTTCAGGGCATTGGCGGTTGAGATGCCTGTTGCTGTGCGTCCCGTGGGGTTGGTGATCAATCCGACCCGTGCATCCGCCACCAGGTGGGTGTGGTTTTCCAAGAATACATCTACACCCATTTGTACCTGTGTCGCCCAGATAGATGTCGCGAAGAGTATTAGAAAGAAAATGGATTTATACCATCTACCAGTTCTCAACCTTTTTCTCCCGATAAAAAACGGGCAGTTGCACACTGGCGACTGCCCACCTTATTATATAAGTCCGTTTTGGCTTTTACTATACGGTTTCAACTGTTTGTGCCCGTTTTTTCCATTTGCCAAAGGCTTTCCAATTGATGGTTTCGCGTTCGCCATTGCAATTGAGAATACCCGCATGCAAATATTCTCTAATTCGTCCTTTAACTTGTTGGGGAGATATGTTCAATTTTGTCGCAGCAACGTCTTCGCCAATCCCAGCAGCCAGCAGTTTCAGCAACGCCGTGTCGTCCATTGCAGGATTCCTTAACAGATGTGAAACACACAACACCGCTCTCTGATACAAACAGAGTCGGAACGAATTGTAGAGGAAAAAAGCGAGATACTCGGAGGGTGAAGAGAGGTATAGTTAGCAGGGCCAGGGGAAGCTCTAAAATACCCACAACTCCGCATTCTCACTCGATATGCAATATAGCTATTCTCCGCTTACATGCAAGGTAAATTATAAAGGTGAGACGTGAGAAGGGTTATCAACAAAGCCGTCATCGCGGCAGGGTGTAAGCCGCGATCCAGGAGGTTTTTGCCTTTTTTCTCATATCCCAGGCAAGGGCGCGTGGTCATTTGTTTCGTGTTGCCACAGTCGAATGCGAGCTGCGATTTCTCGCGCTCGGTCGCGGTGGGCGGGGTTGTCAAATAAATTGGTTTCTTCATAAGGGTCGTTGTTCAGGTCGAATAATTCGCACTGGTCGCCGGCACACAGGTTGAGTTTCCACCGGTCTCCGGTTACGGCACAGCGCCAGGGCAAGGTGGCCATGAGGTTGATTTTTTGGGTTGCCCAAATTGCGGTCGCCAATGCCGTTCCATTCCATGAATGCGGTGTGGTCTCGCAGGTTGGCTTCGCCGTTTAAGACATCGGCACACGGGCGGCCCGGAAGGGATTCTGGCAGGGGCTGATTGGCCAGTTCCACAAGGGTGGCGATCAGGTCCGCGTGTCCAAAGACGCCGTCGATGCGTTTTTGCGATTGGGTGAGATAGGGGGCGCTCAATATCATGGGGACGCGTGCAGATTCTTCGTAAAATGCGCGTTTTTCCAGCATGGCATGGTCGCCTGCCATTTCGCCGTGGTCGCTGGTGACGGCAAAGATGGTGTTTTCCATTTGTCCGGTTTCTTCCAGTGCCTGTACCATGCGGCCTATGGCGTCGTCGATGATTTTTACGTTGCCGTAGTATTGTGCCCGCAATTTTCGCCAGGATTTTTCTTCGCGCAGGTCTTCGCCTTCAACTGTGTTGCCGAGGTAGTGTTCTGCGCGTGCGCGGTTAAATAAGGCGTGTCCTTCGGGTTTTTTGAGGAAGGTGGGGCCAACTGGTAATGTATCGGGGTCGTACATGCCGTCATAGGGACCGGTCATTGGGGGGTGTGGCTCAAATGTGCTGAATACGAGGAGCCACGGGCGGTGTGTGTTTTCCCGGATGAATCGGTCGGAGTGGTTGGCGATGAAGGTGGCCATCTGGTATTCTGGGGGTAGTTGGGAACGCTGGCGCGGTGAGTAGATGATTTCTCCGGTGGCGCTGTTGTTTTGGGGTTCTACGCCCTGTTCTTTCATCCAGTAATAATAACTGCTGAAGGGCAGGCCGGGGCGGGAGTATTTGTTGCGGTGGTCGTCTTCGGTGCTGATCCATTCGTCAAAAGCCGTGCTGTCGCACAGAGTCGTCGCCGAGGTGCCATTTTCCAAACATGGCTTTTCGATAGGTGTCGGGTAGCATTTCTGCGATGGATGGGATTTCGTCGCGCAAGATATCGCGGTTGACCATGCATTCGTGGTTGTGCGGGTACAGGCCGGTCATGAGCGAGCCGCGCGCAGGGGTGCATACGGGTTGTGTGACGTAGGTGTTTTCAAAGACAAAGCTGCGTTCTGCGAGGGCGTCTTGATGTGGCGATTGTATCCAGTCGTTGCCATAACACCGCAGGGTGTCTGTGCGCTGTTGGTCGCTGATGAAGAGGAGGATGTTCGGTTGTTTTGGCATGGGGTTACTCCTTTTTGTAGTTGAGATAATTCGACCAGTTGCAAATACGAATACTGCCGTAATCGGGCAGTGAATCTCCCTGATAGACCAGTGTCGCTGTGTCGGCTTGAGAAGCAAGGGTATTGAGTGTTTTTATCAAACGAGGTCGGAAAGTCGCGGTTTTTTTAATTTCAACAAAATGACGGGTTTGGCCCATATCAATAACGAGATCAATCTCTACCCCATGACTGGTTCGATAAAAATAAAATTCGGAACGTCGATTGGTGTGTTTGTGGTGTTTGAGTACTTGAGCCAAAATATAATTTTCAAAAAGCGCACCAGCCATCGGTCCACGATCATACATTTCTTCAGTCCGAATGCCCGTAAGAGCCGACACCAATCCCGTATCGTAAAAATATATTTTTGGGCGCTTGATAACCCGCTTGCCGAAATTCCGAAAATAAGGGGGTAAGAGAAAAATGACATAAGACATTTCTAAAATGGAAATCCACCGTTTGATCGTCGGCATTGTCACGCCCAGATCACTGGCAAGGCGAGACATATTGAGTACTTGTGCCGTATGTGCCGCGAGCAACTGAATCAAGTTTCGAAAATCGCGCAAATTGCCAATTTGTGCCACGTCTCGCACATCGCGTGCAAGGTAGGTCTCAATATAGGAGGCATACCAATCGTCAGCATTGCGATAATGGCGCGTGACCAACTCGGGATAACAACCACGCCATATCGCCGTTGCACAAAGTGCTTTGGGCAATTCCCGATGATCAAAAGGAAGAAGTGACAATAAACCAATGCGCCCTGCCAAACTATCCGCTACATTTTGCATCAGCAAAAATTGGCTGGACCCGGTGAGCACAAATTTGCCATAGGTATCGCGATCTCGATCAACGGCGAGCTTGATGTGGTTGAAAAGTGCAGGGGCTTTTTGAACTTCGTCAAAAATAACGCGGTGGCGATACATTTGCATAAATTTTTCGGGGTCGTCTTCAAATAACGCCAATTGTCTTATATCGTCAAACGTGACATAGGTGTAAGCATCGCTC